AAAGAAGCAATCAAGCAAAGACAGTCAAAGTACCTACAAGGAAGTCAAAGCACTACCTGTCAGTATACCATGTTCACCGAATGGCCTTGATCCTGGGCACTCGGAGGGAACAGAGCCTTTGGAGTCTGAGAGAACCACGCTGCATGAGGATGTACGGGGTGACGGAGCCTGGACAGAGCTCACAGCAGAGGACTGGGTGAGCCATCGGCGGCCATCCACTCTCTCCAGCCAGTATCGCACTGCTTTCCCCACGGCCTCCCTAAAGGCTCCATCCACAAAATCCCTATATTCATTCACTGCCTCTTGTAGGAAACAGAGGTGGCATCTGACAATAGCAGAGGGGCAAGGAAGGAGACGGCTTCCCACCACTGCAGACGTGGCAAAATGCCACACGCGGCAGGTGATAACGACGATGACGATTACGGCGGTGATAATGGCTCGCGTTCACTGAGTTCCATTCCGTGTCAGTCACTGCCTCAACATGGTCTCACTCCCGCTCGTGGGGTCCAGGGCAGGAGTACCACACAGAGGTCATATGCCCTATGTTGCAAATTTAAAAATTATTCACCAAGCTAAACATTTAAATAGTCTTATCTCCTACTGGACAAGTATTCCTTCATGAGAACGGAAGAGGCTGCAGGGCTGAGCGTCTGGCATTCTTAGACTCCTTAATATTATGTGTGGGAATGTGGAGCCCAGGAAAAGGCAGCCCCAGGGCCCCCCTCCTCTTCCCACTCACTCTCTGCCGGGGTCACAGGTGTGCACGTGACGCCATCCCAGAGCACCGCCCACGCTCCCCCTGCAGCCTTACTGACTTCTCCCCTCTGGCCACCCTGAGGCACAGGGGGTGGTCAGCCTTCAGGAGGACAGACGCAAAAGAGAAGCTCCACAGGCCCTACAAGTGGACATGCGGACATGTGGGCAGGGACCCGTTTTCTGGTGTTCTTGTTCTAGAAGGGGTAGAAGATACTGGGAGAGAGGGCTGGGGGGGTGGTCCACTTCCTTGCCACCCCTCCGCCCTCCCCACACTCCTCGCTTTGTGGGAAAGACACTAGAGTGAGGAGAGCCAGAGCGGGTCTTCTGAAGTCTAAAGCCCATGGTGGGAACCGTATGCCTGGTTCTGAGGCATACTGGCTTTAAGTACATCATCTCATTTAAAATTTTACTGCTCCTACAATCCCACAAGTCTCTACTATTACTGTCATCTTATAGACGAGGAAACAGACTTAAGGTGCTGAGGAACTTGCCCACTGGTGATGGCATCTGACCAGGGCAGGCCTGTCCCCAGAGCCTGCCCCAAATAGGTGTCACACCGCTAAAAACCCTAATACAAATATACAGCTGCTTCTCTGGTAGGAAAGATCTTTCAATGTCTGGTTTAATCCAGACTTCATCAGTCTAAGGCACTGAGAGGCATATTCTCCCTCCATCTCCAGGAGAAAGGCAAAGACTCTTTGTAAAAATGGAAATTCAAGTGAATAAAGAACAATGTGCTTTTCTGGTCCCCCAAGGAGATGAAGCCAGAGCTCAGCTGGTCCTGGTTGTGAGGAAAACCCTGGGCTCTGACCAGAGACATCTAGAAGGAGCCAGTGCAGGCCACTTCCCCGTGGGGGGACCAGAGATACGCTCTGGCGGCCAAATGCTTGGCTTTGCTCCATAGTGAGAACACGCATGAAAGATGCACTGCGAACGTGTCTCTGGGAAACACACCACAGACCCAGGGCATGGAGCGTGTCCCTGGCACATAAAGGCGATCATGTATGTACAGACTAATGGTACCTTCAATTTCAAGCATGATTTTATTCACAAGCTGTTCAGAATTCAGCACTAAAATAAGAAAAGACACTGGGCTTCCACTCACTCAGGCTTTACGGCGCATGTCCAAAGGGGATTTACCAGGCAGATAAGCAATGTTCCACTGCTCAGGTTGCAATAAAACACGTTTTCTAGCTCAGCTTTAAAACCTGTCATTTTAGAACTTTGTGAGCATTTAATTTCTATGTAAATTGTACAAATGTACTTTCAGTAATCACTCCCAGGATCTTTTAAGTGATACAAGAACAATACTCTCCATTCTAACTTACATAAACAGCTTTCTAATTTGGGGTCAAGCATTTTACAGTTTTTATGGTTTTGCTGTGACTTCACTTTTTTATTTAATTACATGCTGCTACAAGATCCTCTTTTCTGCTACAGAGTACTGGAATTCTACCTTTGTGCATGTTAATAAGTTCACAATCTGCTGAGAGCACCTATAAATAACAGTATTGATATCAGAGAGATAGTTTTACCATTTTCCTGTTTGAAAAAAATTTTCACAAGAACCGTTCCAGATTAAAGGAAGCTAAAGAGACTCCTTAACTAAATGCAAAATGTGATGCTATACTGAAACCTGCAGAGGGGAAAAAATGTCGTAAAGGACATTACTGCGTCAATTGACAAAACTGGAGTATAGATGGCACATGAAATGATCTCATGTGTGTAGAGAAAGAGAGATCCTACAAATGATAAAAGAGAAAAAGATAGTGAAGTGTTAAGTATTAGCAAGAGGTGAATCTGGGTAGGGAGCATGCGTGTTTTCCTTTTACTATTCTTTTGCAACATTTTGGTAGGTTGGAAATTATTTCCTAATAAAAAGTGTATAAAAATGGCATGTCACCAAATAAAAAAAAAGTCTTCTTAAAACTGTTTTCCCTGGAAAATTCTTTCATGCATTATTCACAAGCTTAGCTATATAGCTATAAATAAATATTTAATATTTGCTTTCCTGGCCTTATTACAATCCTACTGGTTCCAGCTGAGTGTGGGGAAGCCTGGCTAAGAGTCAGTGTGGCACAGACAACAGAATTGAGGACATGGAGGGGAAGCCGGGCTGGGGCGGGGAGGCCAGGCCGTGGCACCTCTTCCCCTGGAGCCACGCCTGCCACACTCGGCCACGGGAGTCCCACGCCTTCCTGCACTGGGCGTCACTAACTGGCTGGCACTCCGCCTGTGTTCCCGCATGAATGTGAGCAAATAAATGAACAACGACGAGAATGATGGAGCTTTTCAACGATTTCATGTAAAATGTAGGCAATGGACTTCTCCCTCTGGGAAAATGGAATATATGTACATTTCCCTATTCTGCCTGCTTAGTGCAACTGAAGTCCCCTGGATGCTATAAATAAAACAAACCTACAGAGACTTTGAGAGGTGGTGATGAGAAGGCAGACCAGCTAGGGAGTTTGGGACCCAAGGATGGCACAGGGGTGGGCTCCCTGGCTCTTCTCCTTGCTTTATGTAGCCCAGATTTGTAACTGGGGAAGCCAGCAATTCAGAGATGCCGACAGGTGCAGACGAAGCAGGGCCGGCCAAACCCACCCCCTCTAGCCAGACAGACAGCACCTAAGATTCAAAAGTGGAGAAAATGCCAAACAGGACAGTTCCACAAAGAAATATACACCAAGTGCAATCATAAACTTCAGAAAACTAAAGGCAAAGGAAAAAAAATCTTGAAAGGAGCCAGAGAGAAGGATGTATCACCTACAAGGGAAAAACAATTTGAATGACAGCGGACATCCCATCAGAATCCACAGAGGCCACAAGGAAGTGGCGAAGTATTTTGCCACTGAATGAAAGGACTGCCATCCCAGAATTCTATATCCAGTGAAAATATAAAGCGGAAATCAAGACACTCCCAGATGATGAAAAACTAAGGATTTGTCACCAGCAGACCTACCTTAAAATAATGAGTAAAGAAGTTCCCTAAACAGAAAGAAATGATAGAAGGTAAACCTGGAACATCAAGAAGAAAGAACATGCTAAGCAAAAATATAGATAAGTAAAGAGACTTCCCTTTTCCTCATGAGCTTTCTGAATTATGTTTAACAGTTGAAGCAGAAATTATAACACCGTCTGGTCTGGTTCCAAATATAGGTAACCTTAAAACTTGTGCCTTATCAGCATCTATGCAGGAGAAATCCGAGGGAGCATTGAAGGTTCTGATGAACTTGAAAACAGAAATAAAATTTAAAAATAATTTCAGACACGAGGACTGAACTAAAAGGAATGCAAAGAAAATGGTCCCTTTGAGGACCAGGAAAAGACTGGATGACTTTCGTCAGTCAGCCATAGCCTTACACACAGGCGCGCACGGATACAGAGGCGACGCATGGACCTCAGAATGACAAAAAATGCCTGTCGAGTTATTTCCCAGAGTTTCCAGTAGAATGACTGTTTGACAAGCCCAGGGTGCTGTTCCTGCCCCTTAAATGAATGGCACTGTGAAATGTCAAACAAAGCATCAACCTAAAGGCATTTCCCTGGTTCCTGGGCCCTCTACTACCCCCGTGGCCCAGCTCCTTTTAAATCTGGAACTACCTGAGTCACAGTAGACTCAGTGTTGCCCAGTCTCCACCAGCTATGCCTTCCCAGAGGGCTGACCATGCCTAACAACATTCTGGATGGCACCAGGCGTCCTGTGGGCAGCCCTGCTCTGGGCCTGAGCCTCTGTTAGACATTAGGCTTCAGTTCAGTCCCTGAATCCCACCTCAGGAATCCATGCAGATAGGCCAACATCCAACCTGCCTTCATGGGCTGCAGCCTCTCTCGGCAAGCTGTCTGCCCTCTCACTCCTTGAAGAGCAGGGGCTGCACTGTCCTCGGAGGCCAGGGCCCTGCCTCCTCCTGACACACACGCTGCGCTGCTCTTTGTCCCTGGGAACTTCCAAGGCATCGCCAGTTCCTGACACTTAGGAGGCCACCCATCACCTCACAGAAGAGCCCTCACATCAAGGCCTCCTGACCACTGCCTGGTGCCCATGCCAGGCCCTTCAGAGGGCCCGTCCTCACGGCAGACGCCCAGGGGGTGTCTCAGATTCTAGATTCTAGATCCATGCTTTTTCCTTCAGGATCCATCAGGCCGAATCTAACCAAACAAAGACAGACATGTCCTAAAATGTGGAAAAACAAACGAACAAACACTGTATAAAGGTTTAAGGGGGGAACCCCCCAACATACCCTCTGCTGTATTACTTTGGGTCACACACACACATCGAATTGTAGAGATGGAAGGTGTCCTGGAAATTATGCAGATGAGTGGTTCACTGATTTTCAGATTTTCCAAGTGACTAGAATATAGAAAAAGAGGGAGAATTTCATTTGCCCTAAAAGGGACATCTGCCTTTGCCATTATTTAATAAAAGAAAGGCATTTTAACAATAAGAATATAGAATAAACAATCTCAGAGTTTAAAAATCACACAGATGAACTTTATAAAAAACTCATTATATTGTCTTTTTCTTCTTCTTTTGTTCATATGGTCTCATATTCATGAAAACGCTTTCACAGACCAGCAGTGTGACCCTAACTGGCGTTTGTGAATCACCAGGCAGGGAGGGCCAAATTTCTTGTTTAACAGATGAGAAAACGATTCATTTCCCAAAGGTTACTAACCAATCAATGGCAGACTGGGGCATCCGGATTTCCAGTCCAATGTTCTTTTTACTACATTGGCTACTGTTAAGTTTCTGATTATGTTACCTGAGTTCCCTGTTGTTGGTAATATTGGCAACAACTGTATTTTATATCAATTAGCCATTCCTTTCCTCTAACAACTCTAAAGAATCAGAGGTTTATATCCAGAAATGTCTCAACTGGAAGGAGTCTTGATTAGCAGATAACAAAAGTAGTGTGACTTCAATGGTAATACCCCTGATTTTGTACACCAAGAAATAAAGACTGTAGCATTGTTTTAATAGAGATTATTTGGCAAAAGTCTTGCTTTTTCAATTGCACATGATTTGAAGATTTTACTCAAAACTGAAAATAACAGGTCACTGTTTTCAAATTTTTCCATGTCTCCTGCATGCATTCGGTTAGGGACTGAGCAGTCCTTTGTAAGCTTAGATACTTTTAATTTTCTTCTTTCCCTAACAACATGATCCAATTTCTACGGCCATATTTTGGGGTATTTTTGATCAGTCCTATCTCAAGATATTAATTGAATTTCTCATTCCAGTCTGTTTTTTCCGCACCCCTCTCATTCATGTTTTCCTAAAGTAGCTTAGGAATTTGCTCTTTGGCACACGAGTGAATAAATCACTCTTAATCTGGCATATGAATGAATATCTGATCATATTTTGTGACTTTGTTTTGAGAGCTCTCACCAACTATCTCTGCTTCATCAGTCCTAAGAAATCTTACACATGTGACCTAATTGGGTTTTATAAAAGACAAAAAAAGGTGCATAAATGTATAGGTTTCTCTTAGAATAAGAATAAGAGATCAAAAGTTTCAGAAAGGAAAATTCAAGCCACCAAGACTCCTTCCTGCCTGTTCAAGAGGGGCACCCGTAACCCCATTCCTTTTTTTGCTCATGTTTTCCTCACCCACTGTTTTCCCAGTTCCAGAAACTCTGGATGAGAAAACTGAGTTATTCTCTTGTTACTTGTGTCTTTGCCACATGAAACCAGGCAACTTGGGCTTTTGATCACAGGATTCTTGAAGTATCAACTTCTGATCACTTAAGTGAACTGAAAGAACTAAAATATTTTACTCAAAGTTTTTTCATGTTAACATTCAACATTTTATTAGACAGAACGACGGTTTAGAAGGAATTCCACATTCAACAATCAGCATTCCAACGTGCTGCCTAAGAGCTGTGTGCCTGGCCAAGATACTTCCCTATTCGAAGCCACACTTTGCTCTTCTTTATTAGCTGCCTGGTAGAGTGACAATAATAATTATAAATAGGTAACATCTATTGAAAATTCACTATTCTAGACACTGTACTAAGCATTTTACACAATGATCTCATTTCATCTTCAAAAGTCAATGCAATGAGACTTGAGGTCATCACAGCAGTTGGGTTTCGCTGGAACTCAAATCGGAACCTCCCTCTGTAGAAGTCATGCTGAAATAGACTCCTTACAATGGACGTCGTATGAGGCAATGAATATAAAATGTACAGCATTGTATCTGCTGTGTTATAAGGGCTCAGTAAAAGTTTGCTAGCATTTTTGGTTAACATCAAAAGAATATTTTGATACAAAAGAGAATTAATATAATAATGTATTAAGGGCTATTATAGCCTACTGAGTGTTCTGGGTAGACAGAGACACTCTGATGGCCACTAGACTCCTGGACGACACATACTGAGTACCATTTACTTCTGTTGCTGAGATTCTAATACTAAACATCCACTTGGGGAGTAGGTGGTCTATAAATATCAGTTGAATTAAAAAGGTATTCAGAATGGTTATGCATATTTAATCTATCACAATACACAAAGAATAAAAACTGGAACAAAGGTTCCTGCCTCCTTTTGTCTGTTTATAATATGGGCACAACCCTCATTATTGGCAAAACTTCATAAGACTATTACTTCAAGACCTATGCAAGATGCAAAGAACCTTCTCCTGTTTTGCCCTTGCCAAATAGTATTTGTTAAGCAACCATCTGCATCTCAGACTGTATTGCAGTCGTATAACACAAGCTGAGCGCTGGCTGCTCCCTTAATCAAGTCCAAACAAGACGGTGAAATATCTCAAGAAAGCTTGAATAATTGGTTGTTGCGAAATAAAAGATTCTCAAGTGCATTTCCAAGTAAAATATATAGTTTTGATCATTTCTAATTGCCAGTTCAATATCAGAAAAAAAATGATTAATTCTTCATATTATTTTGTTTAATTATCCTCCCTTTCAGGAAATGCCATTCATATATATCATTCATAACATAAATAATTTCAGAGGTCACTTAGTCAAAGGCCTCCAGTCTACATGACTATAGACGAGTTCTGTGTCTTGCTTATGGTCATACAACTAAAGGTGCTGGAATCAAGGCTCTGTCTCCTGATTTAGGGACTTTGCAGGCAGCTGGAGGGGAACATGACCTCAAAATGAGGCAGGGTAAGTAAGACAAAAGACAATCTCCAGAACAGTTCAAATATCCAAAAACTAAGAGGCACTGTATAACCATAAACATCTCAATACTTATTTTAAAAATTTAAACCTTAGAATTATTTTTCTCAAGGCCAAATTCTTATGAGATTTTCCTCATGCCTAATTTTTTTAAAGAGGTGAAGTTAAAAAACACTGAACTACTTGAACAACGAATTAACGATTTTATGCAAATCAACACATTTCTAGACAACTACTGCAATTACATTCCAGAAAACACATTTGGTCAAAGACTTTGTGCTCAACGGTTGCCACCAAGAACTTATGTGAACCCAAATCAGTATTTCATATTTCCTATAAACCTTTCAATTGCACACAGTGCATGAAAAACATGGGCAGATCTGAATTTAATCTTGTACAACAGTTTGTGAGGTTGTTTTTAAAACTGTTGTAATAAAAACCTTAGACCCACATGGATCTAATTGTTATTTGCACAAAAGTTTTTCTCTCTGAACAGACACATGTTGGTGATGGAGGGCAGGTCTCATTAAAAAAAGAAACCAAATACAGTAATTACTTAGGCATGTAAAAGACTTTCCTGGTGACCACAAACCCCCCTTGAAGGCAGCTCTGCTGGCTGGAATGAACTGAAAACCAGGAACAAGTCAATTAAAATGTATGGATGCTCCAGTGTAGCAGATTGTATTTTCTAAAAATGGCCATAGCAGTATTTCTGGTCCCACATGTTCCTTCTTGAGTTTGAGCAGGGCTTTCTGGCTGTGAGGATGCATGGAATGTGGCAGAACTGGGTCACAAAGGCTAGGTCACGAAGGGATCTGGCCGCCTCCTGACTCCCCTTCTCAGGACACTCACCTTGGGATCCAGCCACAGTTGGTGGTGCAGGACAGGCCATGGGAAGAGAACACCCAGGGGAGGCTGGCTGACAGCTCCTGCTGGGCTCTCAGGGGGCAGCGGGCATCCTCGCCCTGATGTGCGAGGGAGGGAGCCTTCGGAGAGCCCAGCACCAGCCTAGGAACTGCCCTGGCTGATACCAAATGGAGCAGAGATGAGCTAGCCCCACTGAGCCCAGCCCAAACCGCAGATTCAGGAGCAAAATACATGTCACTGTAAGCCACAGCTTTTAGGGCCTGCTACTCAGCAACAGATAACCAGAGCCTCTAGTTTTTGAACAGCATAGCCATGAAGGACAAGTGAATTTTCATTTAATTCTATTGGCTTTTAACCATCACTCCCATTTTCAAATTCTCACTGGAGGCATGAATAAATGAGACCAGCGGAATTATGTTGATCAGTGTGCTGAATCTGACAGACAAAGCCCAGGGTGAGAATGGAGCGCACCGGAACATTCACACAGTGTCCCTCCGACATGCGCTGGTCACCCAGAACCACCTGGCAGAGGCACGGTGAGGTCAGCAGGCTGGGCCTGAGCAAGACCCTGCCTTCACGGCCTCGGCCTGGCAGCACCCCCATCACCCAGGCACTTGTGTCCCAAAGCAACAGGAAAATTCAATTAGCTCTAAGGTCTCAGTGGAATTCTAAATTGATGTCTCTGAAAAATGGGATGAACTGGTGGGGAGGGGATGGAGGGACAGCCAGAGAAGCAAAGCTGATCCCAAAGGGAGGTGGTGCTTGAGGTGCCTGCGTGGAAGATGGTTTGAGCTGGAGCGTCTTCTTGGCACCTCTCAGACTGCACCTGTAGCCAGGAGCAGTCCAGGCAGAAGGCACAGAAAGTACAAAGACAGGAAGCTGTAAAGTGCCGCAGTACATTTCTGAGCCATTCTGCATTTCTTGAGTGTAAAGTGTCACGGGAGGCACGGCAGTGCAGCAGACCAGATGTGGGCAGGACTCAGGAGTGAGGACCTCACGGGCCAAAGAGTCAGCCCCCAGCTGACAGCCGCTGGGAGGCCACTGAAGGGTCCGACGTGCACAGGAGGAGAATGCCCAGGTCAGGAGCCAGCAGCCCTGGCATCAAGTTGGGGCCCTTCCTGTCTGAGGTGGCTGATGAGGCTCAGATCTTCAGTGGGGCTAAGTAATTGCCAAGATTCTGCAGGGCAGAAAGTCCACGTTATCTGAGTAATGCTACTCCGAGACGTGAGGCCACCATGGGGACAAGGAAGGGGTAGATGTGCAGGCAGCTGCCACTCCTGACTCCTTCCCAGGCACTGGCCTGGAAAGGCAAGGAGTGGATCTGGGTCTTTCTTTCATTTAAAAATATTCAGTGAGAGACCGTGACTAAATACCGCCACTCCAGGGGTCACATTGCTTTTCCTCCCCCCTCCCTCAGCAGCCACGCCGGATTTAAAACAGCGAAGATGTTGGTTCTTTACATCACACATGCATCTGCCAAGCAGAAATTTGGAAAATTAGGCAGAAATATGTCACTGAGATGCGTCTGTGTTTCCAAGGATAAGAGAGACTGGGAGAGGAGCCCAGTCTTGAAACTGGGGATCAAAAATTGGCTGAATGTTTTTATAGTTTATTTGACCAAATTTTCTGAAAAAAAAAAAAGTATAGCTGATTTTGGCCAAATAAACTCTGCTGACACTGAAGCCCAATGGAAAGGACCAGAAAGGAGGCAGGCACTTGTAGCATTTTCCCAAAGAAAACACAGGACACCCGCTCCTGTGAGCAGAGGCCAGTGGAAAGGCACATATTCCTAATGACACAAGGAATGGAAGAGACGTGAGAATTAAAGCAGCTAATGATGTAGCCAGCGATAACACACAGCATTTCTGCCTCTATGTGACTTTAGGCTTCTCTGTACTTTAATCTGTCACATATACATAAACAATGTAACGACTGTCTGACCTCACAACAAACCCGTGAAAACAGTTGACGGGATATTAATAGATTCCCCGCAGCAGGTACCACTGGGCTGGAATTTCATTTTCTGGCTTGGGTGGGCCATCTGGAGCTGCCAGGAGGTAAAGATCTTTTCTTAACCCCTCCTGTTAAGAGTCTCCGAGGTGACTGAGGCTAAGCCGGGCTGTCACTTAGCTGCCATCAGCACAGCCACCCACCTGGCCGAGCAGCTAATGACACAGCAGTGGCATTTCTCAGTGCCATCAATTACCACAGGCGACATCCAGCCCGGACAGATGTGTAACCTGAGGCCCGGCTTCCAGAGCACAGAGCATGGTGGGAACACACCCAGACAACACCTACGTCCACACTTGTACACAATGACACACAGGTATATTCACACATATATACAGAAAAGACAGACACAGACAGATGTACACAGCTGAACACACACAAATACCCACGTACATAAACAAACAGACAAGGACAGTCAAACACACACATACACACCTACATGTGTATACAGACAGATGCACACAGATACACACACACCCACATACTCCTATCCAAGGCCCAAGACCAACACACACCAACCCACACGTACACTCTCCCTAGACACATGCGTGTGGTCAGCAGTGCAGGGGTGGTGCCCATGGGAGGAAGAGCCCCCTGCCTGCCGCCCACCCATACAGAGCTGCCTCCAACCCTGCAGGCCATTGTTTCCCACAGAGGCAGAAGATAGGCCTTGGAACATCAATTATTATCATTTTTAATACAACACGTTCTAACTCTCAATAGAATCCTGATGTGGTTGGGGTGTGTGGGTGTTTCTCAAAGTCCCGCGTATGGCAGTTATATTTCAGTCCTGAAGATCTGTTTGGCAGCCCTAGGCTCTGGCTGTCTGCATCCAATTTATCAATCTTCAGGGAAGCTGCTGACAGTCAGGCACCCCCTTACAGGCCCGGATTAAGATGGTTGCCAAGCTGACAACTGGCATGGCTGCAGCTCTGCTTACTAAATGCCCGGCTAGATTCCCATCAAAAGCCACAAATCTGAAAATTCATCATCTTTCCCACCAACAAGTATTAGACACCGCTGTCCAGAAAAGGGCTGCCCAACAGGTATGAGGCAAACCCCTATAAGCAACGAAGCCTGCAACTAGGGGGTCCCAGCATCTCCCTTTGGGGTTCCCAATTCTTTCTACCTCTCCTCCTAGACTAAAAATACTGTTTCTTTCCTCCATCCTTTCAAGTGCAGTAGACCCCTGACCTGCATACGTTCCAAGACTCCCGTGGATGGCTGACACCACAGAAACTGACCCGTATGTGTATCTCTTTTGCTATACACACATACTTATGATCAAGTTTAATTTATAAACCAGGCACAGGAAGAGATTAACAACTAATAATAAAATCGAACAATCATAACAATCATAACAATATACTGTAATACAATTCATATGAATGTGGTCTCTCTCTCTCTCAAAATATCTTAGGTACTGTACTCACCCTTCTTCTGGTGATGATGTGAGAAGATAAAATGCCTGTGTGATGAGAGGAAGAGGGGAGAACGACACAGGCATCGTGATGCAGCACCAGGCTGCAACGGGCCTTCTGATGACATGGCAGAAAGGGGGTCATCCCCTCCTGGACAGCGGCTGACCACAGGGAACTGAAACCAAAGAAAATGAAACTACTCTACAATCCACAGAGTGAACTTGAGAGATACAGGTGTAAACACACAGTTGTTTTCTATCCATTTCGTTTATGCTGTAAGAAGACAGTTTGATTTTGAGTAAACAGATCATGGGCATCTCAGATCTCTGCTCGGTCTGTCAGATGCACTTTCTCTTCTCCAAAAAACCTTTAACAGCTCCACTCATACACCTCCCACCCTACTGTCCAGTTAGATGTCCCCCACCTGGGTACTTGCAACACGCTGTACAAACTTCTATTGTTGCCCTTAAAACTCATCATCTACATTTGTTTAGGTGGCTATGCTTTCCACTGCATGACAAATTTCTTAGAGGTATACATGATATATTCAAATTTGCTTGAGGGCCAGGCACATACAAAATAGGCACTCAATAAAACTGTGACATGTTATGAAAACTGCACAATTAGGGCTGCATAGTTATCACTGGGGTTTTCAGTCACTCGTGTGGCCTTATGAGACTTCCCAAAATTGCAGTCTGTCTCTGAAAACCCACTGACACACAGTAGATGTGACAGGAGGTTGAGAAGCCAAACTGTCAGGCCTCGAGCATACAAGTGTGTCTCACGATTGTCGAACACTTGACAATCGACACTTGCAGGAGATATTTTTCACTGGGATACAATGTTTGCCATCTGAAATTCTTTAATTGTGTTCCTTGCTCTTTGTTCTCTGAGGACAGTAATAACTTTCTTGCTTGGGAGAATCAACATATCAACATGTTTCAGAGACATTTATTATTTTATTATTTTTATTATTAAAGAAGAATCTTTAAATAGAGAATGTTAAGTATTTTTAATCAACCAAAACCTATCATACATTATCTGACTGCACAATTCTTCTTTGACATTCCTGAGAAATATGTTCTGAATTCCAGTCACATGAGATGGGGCCATCAGATAGTGTAATCACTAGTTAAGCGACTCCTATGGCATGGATCTTGCACCCCAGCTACCTAAATTTGTGCCAGGTATGAATTCTTGTTTGATCTTCACAGCAATGTGATGGAGGCAAGTATTATCCCATTCAAAGTTGGTATATATTATAGACCTTTGGGTCCCTCACAAATAATTTTAATCACAAACGTTAGGCCAACAAATGTGGTCACTATTCAGGCCTAACAATGGTAAAATTCAGGGACTGTCATATTCTCTAAGAATTTCTGCAGCCCAATGCCTTTCCTATTGATCACAGAAAATGAAATCAGAGTTTTTAATGGAGTAAATCAGAGGGCCAGAACGTTGAATCCAAGAAAAGCCTTATACTTGTTAAAATTACCGATGGTGAAGCTATTTCGAATTGCAATTAGCCTTTCCAAGTTTACGGATTTTACAATGTAAATATGTTACAATTCAGCCTTTTCAAAGGCCAGCTTCTACTGTAGGAATCACTGCCATGTACACTAATGACCAGGCAGCTGAAAGCAGAGGAAAATTCAAGTGTTCATGCACTATTTACACCTTTGCTGTTTGGGTTCTGGACTAGATCTTCTGCATTGCCCTCTGGTTTGGCTTCATTTTTAATGAATAGCCTTAAACTTCTCCCAAACTAGGTCATGAGCTTAAAACTCATTTTCTCATAAAAATTATGATCAGTGCATTTTATTGTGTATAAATTATACCTCAATTAAAAGCGGAGCTCCTTATCTCACAAGAACAAAAAAAAAGAACAAAAAAATTACTTTTCTGGGCTAAGTGGGGTGAGATACTGCAACTCTTAAGATTTTTTTTTTTTACTATAAATATGGATGGACAAATTCATAACTCTTAAGAAATGTTAAATACATTCTGCTTATGTTTTCAAATGTTCAAAGGGAAACGGGGGAAAATCCTTTTAAAAATCACTCTTCTACAAGAGGCAAGGTGAGAAAGGATGGGGTCCGAGCACTGAAACTCCATTCATGGTTTGAGTTAAACAATTACCAGAGAGGCGGAGGTTATTATTGAATTACAAACATGAACCGAGCTTTTCCAGTTGGAAAAGAAACCATTACAGGGTTTTGTGGAGATCTAGGGAGTATTTGATAGCATGAACTTTCTTCATCATCTATGGTTATGACCAGAAAGGGAAAAGCAGAGGGCTGTTCACGCGTGTGTGCGTGCGTGTGTTTGTGTCCTCGATGACCTATAAGATCCTTTCCAGATTATAAATTCTATGTCTGCTGTGAGAGGTAACCATGTCAAAGGAAAAAAAGAAACACAAAAATCAAACAAATACCTAATCAACCGCAAATGGTAGAGAGTAGGAGAAAAACAATCATGTCTCATGTTTGCTCGGTGCCGGATTAGCCCTCACAGTAATCCTACCAGTTTAGCACAATGTTTCCAGTGTTGAAGAGGAAGAAATTACAGATCAAAGGGATTTACTAATTTAGCCAAGTTCCCCCCAAAACTGAGAGGTAAACCAGGCTTCAACCCGACATTCGGTGCCTCCAAAGCCTTTCGTCCTCCCACAGCTCATTTTTGGCTTTGACCCCAAAGCTATTCCCACATGTGGGAAAAAGTTCTAGCCTGTCTACTGCTTGACAGTTATATAGCTAACATGCACTCTGCCAGCAGATGAGCCGTGGGGATAGGAGGCTGCCAGATAGGGCTGCCATGGTGTTCTAGTAATATCTCAACCCTGTGAGTCTCTGAATTGGACCATCATTGCTTCACTCTGCCAACGGAGACACAGCTATCCTATAACCTAGACAGATGCAACTCCAAAATAGCTGATCTTTACCAGTTAAGTCTGTCCTCTTCAGCTGGCACCCAGCATCTGGAAGTACAGGTATGTGATGTGCACTAGCTACAATATTTTACCTTAGGAATAAAAAAATCACCCACTATCCTTTTCTCCCTGTTTATGTTAACATTAGCATTCAAATACTCGGTTGAAATTGCCATTCTCAGTAAGAAAAGCTAGAGGAGGCTGGGGATCATTCACATTCCGGGGACCACAGAGAGCACGGTGGGGACTCCGCCAGATGTGACCAAGATCTTCTTTAACACTAAGTCCACACATATTCTACTATTGTCATCATAGCCACACTGTTTCTCTGTAATGAACAATTCTTTTTTACTCCATAGAATTTTCAATGAACTTCCCGGTAATGTAATTTTATCACGACCTCTCAATCTTGTAACAAATTTGCTACAGGAAATTATATTTTGCACTGAAGTAATACAGCATTTGCTGTAGGATTCTGATTTTGCTCAAATTAAGTGGTACATAAACTCACAAGCCTTGTGTCAATTTTTCTACTGTTACATAGGACATTCAGTCATTTACTCACTCCCTCAACAAGTATTTTCCTAATATCAAGTATATGCAAGTCCCTGTCCTATTACCAAGGATACAGCAGTGAATAAAGCAAAGGTCATGGACTTCATATGCTAGTAGACAACAAAGAAATTAATACATGCATAATAAAATGGCAGGAGGCTGAAAGTACTCTGAAGAAGTATTGGTCAAGATAAGGCTATGCAGGGTGGTGGAGGGGGTTTTTTAAGACAGTGGTTGGGGAAAGCTTCTTTAAAGGAACATTTAAGTGTATACCTAAATCAAAATCTATTGCTCTAAGAGTAATTCCTACAGCTATCAGGGGGAAGAGCATTTTAGGCAGAGGGAACAGCAACTGCAAAGCCCTGAGGCCTTTTATTAGAAGGCTTTTTGGCTGACTCTCTCCTACAACTGCAGAAAATAAAATCACCTTTTAGAACTCTGATCCAGTTAACATAAAGCCTCATTTTTCCCACAGTAGATACATGTGTATATACAGACACAACTACACACATGTATTTAAACAGTGTTGCAGTTTGAGGAACTACAATACAAGGCAGTGCACTAGTCAGGGTCCTCCAGAGAAACATCACCACTATATATTCATAAAGTGATCTATGATAAGGAACTGGCTCGTACAATTATGGAAGCTGGCAAGTTCAAATCTGCAGTGTGGGCTGGCAGGCTAGACACCCAAGAGCATCAGCAGTGCAGCTCCAGGCAAAAGGCCAGCAGGGAGGGGCCCAGGAGAGCCACTGGTGCAGGTGAAGTCCCAAAGCAGTCTGCGGAGAATTCCCTTATTTAGGGAGGCTGGTCGCTTTATGCTATTCAGGCCTTCAAGTGATTAGGTGAGGCTCACCCACATAGTAACAGACAATCTGTTTTACTCGAAGTTGATTCATCTAAATGTTGATCTCATCTCCATGGTGACACAAAATTTGCCTTCACAGGCAGTATTGTTCCTGAGGAAGCTGCTGTGGGAGGGCAGGGTGAGCTGAGATCATGCAGATGTAGGCAGGGATATTCACTCAGCACCACTTGCTCACTTGGGTGAATGTGGCAGGCTTTTCAGTCCCGCTTTCAGAGCATTCAATGCTGGGTATTCACTCAGGTGGGTGGAATGGGAAATCCCAACCAATGGTATTGCTGTAAGAGAGATGTGTGCATATGGCAGGGCCAAACCCGGTTAAGTAAACTAAGCATTACACAGGAGATTGGGGGATGTGCCCCATGAGACTCATCTGGCTTCAGGGGGGCTGTGGCAGGGGGTGGGGGACACTAGGCAGGGCATCCGATGGGGCAACTCATGGCAACTAAGGAGAGAGAAAACCTGAGTAAAACCCCATTCCTGGACTCTGAGTCAAACCTCTCAGAGCTGAGAGGATGTGACACAATTCGAGGGCTGCTCAGACATCCAGGTCTGGCACCTCGTTCATCACACCTCAGTCCTGGTTAGAGATATGCATGGTTCAGGTGAGGTCCGGGTCATGGAATCCTACATCCAGAACACCTGAACTTGCAAATGGAATCATCAAGGAAGTAGCTTGGATGAAGTGGAGAAGAGGTAGAGAAAATAAAGGTAGGTAATGTATATGTGTGCAAATTAGATGCCTGCATTAATAGCCATGTTCTTATGCAGACGTACACACCTGGACAGGAAGTGCTCTAGCACTGCTCAGTACTGCTTTAAAAAC